GAGCAGGGGTGCTTAAATGATCAGCTTTTATTTAAAACCTTTTTGCCTGAAAATAAACTATTAATGCATTATCTGATGTTTGGCTTCAACTCATATTACTGTATTTAGAAGCAGTTTTTTTTTACCTTTTGAAATAAAGGGATGTACTAGCAGATTTAAAGTATTAGCTGGAGTTTGGCTTTAGTTTATGTATTTAAATTTGCTTGTACATTTAACACTCTTGCTGCTCCATCCAGAGTGATGGCACTCTAAAGATACAGGTGTGTTACTGGCCAGATCTCCAGGTGAAAATAGAGGGGGGAAAAAAGCCTAAAAACTTAATGTAACCACCACATCTAATGATTGGTAAGCTGCAATTATAACATATTTGAGTTTAACACCGCTTTATCCTTTTGTTTTCTTGTGAGCCTGTTGGCACTTATGTTTTGATATGATGTTGGCCACCCCTCAGTTTATTGCTTGTGTATGTCCCATGGTCTAAGAATACAAGTCCTGAACAATTAAAGTGGAATGCTGGGCTATACCTGTCTACTCTTTAATCTGCTCCTATTCCCCTTCTATCTGATATTTGAACTACCCTGTTGAAGGAAGATGCTTATACTTAACCTATTCTTGGGGATCTCCAGTCTGGTCACGTGATTTTCCCAGCGACTATCTTCAGGGAGAGGAGAGAGCATCAACAATGGCTGGAATGCCTGGGTGGTGTCAACCATAGGCTTGCAATGGGGCATTTGTTAGCTGTCCCTCCTGTCCTGAAGCTGGGATCCAAGGACCTAGAGTACTTTTAGAACAGTTTCCGTAAACTTAACAGAATTTTGACACCAGTGTGGTATTAGTCTTTGTGACTCGTAGTCTTTTGCTTTTATATGTTTGCAAGTCTGTGTTCAGCTGTAAATGTGTAAGAGGTAATGTTTGGTTGTGGAATGATGAGATTGAGCATGGCCTATTCACCGCATTAACAGACAGCACAGCTAAATACGTTCTGCTCACTGTCTCTGGCTTCGCAGCTTCATATTGCTTTGTAATTCAAAGGTATACAGCTTTAAGTCTGGTATGGTGTGGGTTTTGTGGCTCATGTATGTGAGTGTTCTGCTTTTGCATTTGAGTGTACAATAATTGCAAGTCAGCAGATTCCCACCTTAGTGTTGTAGTGTGATATATTAGTTGACTTGCTTTGTTGTGTTTCTTCAGACGCAGCTGGTCCTGTTGAGATGCATTTGCATTGCAAGCAAAGCAGGAATGCAACCTTTAACTGCATTTAAGCATTGATGTGCTTGACTGCAAAAGGCAGAGTTTGATCATACCTGTCGTCTTAACCCCAACTCTTGCTACCACAGACCTATATCATAGCTTCAGTGGGGGGGGGGGGGGGGGGCGCATCAGGGGTCTAATGCCTTAGTAAAAAGAACCTGTCACAGAAAAACCTAAAGTGGGGGGGGGGGGGGAGCATACATACTTAAACTTGTGTCCTTTGTGTCATGACCCACTCTTCACTCCATGACAAATATTGAAGAGTGTTTATTGTGGAAATTACGTACAGAGTATCTTCTGCAGTTAAAGCCCACCTGCAAGCATTTATTGCCCTCGTACTTTAACTTACAATTGCGCGGTCATGCAACGCTGCACCCAAATTAAATTTAAATCCTTTGTTTCCCACAAATTGAGCCTTCTTTCTTTTTTTGATCGCTTGTGCGGTTTTTATTTTTTGCGCAATTAAAAAAAAAAATTGAGCAAAAAAAAACAATATTTTTGACTTTTTGCTGTTAAACATGTCCATTTAAAAGATTTTTCATCATAAATTTGCACCAAAATGTATTCTGCTACATGTCTTTGCTAAAAAAACAAAAACGTAAATTAATGGTTTACGTGAAAGTTACAGCATTTACAAATGGCAGTATATATACTGCATTTTGTATTTTTTTTTAATGTTTAATGGTAATGGCGGCGATCAGCAACTTATAGTGGGACTGCGGTGGACATTCTGACACTGCGGGGGAACTGACTTGGTGTCACTGACATTCCCAGTGACACCAATACAGTGATCAGTGCTGAAAAAAAAAAAAAAAAAAAGCACTGACACCGTACTAATGGCACTGGGAAGGAAGGGGTTAACATGAGCGATTAAAATGGTTAACTGTGTACAGGAAGTGTTTTACTAGGGGGCTGTCTCAGCGTGCTTCACTATAAGCACACTGCTCTGGATGGCTGTGCTGTGCACATATATATTTATTATGTATGTATGTGTGATTTTGCGCATCCATGCCACCCTGTAGCAGTATTTCTGCTATAGGGCGGACGGGAAGCAGTTAAACGGCGCGCTTTCCACTTTCAGTTACATCTGAATAGCCAGCTTAGTAGAAAGTGAAATACTTCCACCTAACGAATGCTAAACAAAGCATTGCCCCCACTCAAGACTGTTCCCATGCTGTGGTCATGGCAAAAATTAAATGGCACCTGCAGCATTCAACATATGGTACCACTAGGAAATGCAACCCATTTATGTGAATGGTTTGCCATTTTTAGGATTAAAGCAGGCAGTGAGGAAGTGAGATCACCTTTCCCCTTCTATCAAATTCCCTCTGCAAAACAATCCACCCTGGATTGGTTTTGAGTGGGCCAGCAGTTTAATTTAGTTAGAAAACTGACCTTACCTTTGCTTTCCACACTGCAGGAATATGACTGGTTTCAGGAAGTGGGGTGTGTTTAGGGAAGCTGTGTGTGACATTGCAGGTTTAAAAAAAAAAAAAAAAACTTTTGTGATATCACAACTGCTTTTCACTGTGTCAGATCAATGGAAGTGTAAGTGCTGCTCAAAGCAGTCTATAGGGAGGTTAATACCACCTCAGAAAAACCTGGAATCCTCTCATGTTGATCTCGCATGTAAGTAGGAATGCATGATAACGTTGCCCATCTGCAAAACCCCTAAAAGCTCATTTAGACTTGTGGTTATGGGGCGTTAAAAACACTGCATCCAAAATTTTGAGTGGTCACCAGAATAGTAATAAAGGTGAAATCTTAAAATGAGGCACTTCAGTGACAACGGTCTGAAGGCATTTCCATCATTTTGTGGAATGCAGATGGCAAAAAGACAGGTGTTTCAAGCATCCCTTACTCTGACTTAAGAGTTGGATTCAGATATTCTTTTAACTGACCAAGGACTAATGTAAGCCCTGGCAGGTGAGAGACAGCTTTCTATCTCATTTCACTGGGACCATTGAGGAGGAGCTACCCACACTCTGCCTGTTCATACGCTCCGGTATGGAGGGGGGTCATGTCTTTCCTCTTGCAGGAGAGGGGAGGGTCATGCCTGTGCTTTTGTAGGCGAGGGGGGAGGGTCATGCCTGTGCTTTTGTAGGCGAGGGGGGTAGGCGAGGGGGAGGGTCATGCCTGTGCTTTTGTAGGCGAGGGGGGAGGGTCATGCCTGTGCTTTTGTAGGCGAGGGGGGAGGGTCATGCCTGTGCTTTTGTAGGCGAGGGGGGGGGGTAGGAGGGTCATGCCTGTGCTTTTGTAGGCGAGGGGGGAGGGTCATGCCTGTGCTTTTGGGAGGGGGAGGGTCATGCCTGTGCTTTTGTAGGCGAGGGGGGAGGGTCATGCCTGTGCTTTTGTAGGCGAGGGGGGAGGGTCATGCCTGTGCTTTTGTAGGCGAGGGGGGAGGGGAGGGTCATGCCTGTGCTTTTGTAGGCGAGGGGGGAGGGTCATGCCTGTGCTTTTGTAGGCGAGGGGCCCTGGAGGGTCATGCCTGTGCTTTTGTAGGCGAGGGGGGAGGGTCATGCCTGTGCTTTTGTAGGCGAGGGGGGAGGGTCATGCCTGTGCTTCTGTAGGAGAGGGGTAGGGTCATGCCTGTCTTCTCTTGGCCTCTGATTGCTGTATACTACACTGCCAATGTCATGGACCAGACACTGGTGTAGCATGAAGATCTGTATCCCCTGCAGCAACTGCGCATGCGCCAGAATCGGAGAAAACAAGCCGAGCTAAGTCAATTAACTCCTTGCATGCTGGACTACAACCCAGGCATGTTCTTGTTCGGGATTTAGAAGCTTGGGCATGGTAACAGCCGAGCAAGTGAATTGTGCTGATCCCCAGGGACACATGGGGACATACATGATTTCACAGCAGCTGTAGTACCCTGTGCCTGTGTTGTAGTCCAGCATGTAAGGAGTTAAGGGACTTCAGGTACTCCTCTGGCTTTAGCTGTTTGTTTTCCCTGATTTCAGTTTCTGCTGTTTCTGCAGGGGATACAGTCTTCACAGGATACATACATATCTTCATGCTACAATGGAGCTTGATTTGGCTGCTTAGCATGCACTTGTACTGAGAACCCAATAAAGTTTTGTGGTCTTCGTGGAATAATTTTTTTTTTTTTTTTTTTTTTTTTTGTACCCTCGCTGCACTCCTGTGACTCGTTTTCAGCTGACAGCGGGCTTCAGTCCACTGTCTGCAGACATCACCCAGCTGGTCCAGGCTGTGGAAAGATCCAGACTTTAAAGTCAGGATCCACCCCCAGTGTACCAGTGTATGGAACAGCACCCGGCTCAGCCTCTGCCACGCTGAGAGACTGAGCCAGCCACTCCTCCCCCAACCCCACCTACACACACAGCCCAGCACTCCAGTGATTGTGTGAGGGGAGGGGCAGAGCAGACAGCGGTGACTGACAGTCACCACTCTCAGCAATCAGCGGTCATGTGAACACTTAAAGCCAGCAGGAGACCGATGCTGCATCCACCTAGGTAAGTATGATTTGGGAAAAAAAAGGTTTTTTTTTAAAGTCCTGTAGTAGAACATATAAGTTACCAAATTACTGCATTTTGTGTTTGCTGTGCAAATTTCTATCCAGCATGTAAAATGTTCTTTATTTCATTAGCCACCAGCAATCTTTAAGCTTAGTCGTATCTGCTAGTTTTTTGCATGGACTGAACTAACATTAGGCTTTTTTTCCCCCTGTTTTTTGTTTGGTTTCTTACATTCACCTACTAACTGGCTTGGCGACTTGTGCTAACAAGGAATTGGTAAATTATCCACTGCTGATGGTAAAGCGTTCGCAGATCCTGAAGTGCTTCGTAGATTGACGTCTTCGGTCAGCTGTGCGTTGGATGAAGCTGCTGCTGCACTGACAAGAATGAGAGCTGAGAGCACCTCAAATGCAGGGCAGACGGACAAGTAAGTAGATTAACTAAAACTGTTATTCTGTAATCATAAACACCTTAATGGCTTGATTTGATTTAGTATTTTCCTATTGCAGAAACTGTTTTTTTTTTTTTTTTTTTTTTTTTTTTTCCCCTTCAATGGCTACCAAATGTTTTGTAAACAGTATAGCGGTCCATCTGCAAGAAACTAAAGTGCCCTGGCAGAAGCAAATATCTTAAAACCTACCTTTGCTGCTAGAAGATTACCAAAACCACCCAAACAATTACAGTATATATTTTCTGAAAGCAGAGGCCCTGTAGAATAAAATGGTGGCAGTTGAAATTTGTTACATGAGATTTACGCAACTGTGTAACCAAATGAATTGAACAATGCAACCTATTGAATACCAGGAAGTTTAGACCTGGTAGATGAGGGGTTAATGACAATTTTCCCACTAGGGGAAAAAGCAGTAACTTAAAAGTTTTTATTCGCGCCCCATTTATACCCACATATGAACTCCAATGCGCACATCAGGTACCCACATGTACGAATATGGTTGTATGACCTTGGTATTGGTATCGCTGTGCATGCCAGAGCGAGTTCAATAATTCTAGGGCCATCATTCACTGTTGGCTCTACATTGATGAGCTGTAGAAATTTTTAAAGCATTCTCTGTTTCTCATGGTTAGGCCCCTTTCACACGGGTGGACTGATCGGATCCACCTGGCAGTTTTTCTGGTGGACCTGATCAGACTATCCATTGCCCTCTATAGAGCAGCAATCCTGCCTGCATCCAATGTGATCCTGTAGACTAAAAACAGACTGGGGATCTGTTCCCCATTCATCTAGTTGATTGAAGGGGGTGGTGGTGGTGTGGGGGTGGTTCTGTTCATGGGGAGTGGGGCAGAAAGGAAACTTTTATGTTTGCTTTTTACATTACTATTTCCTTTCTTTATTAACTGCTGTTTTACTTTTATACAGCCGCAGTTTAGCAGAAGCTTGCTCTGAAGGAGATGTGAACGCTGTGCGGAAGTTATTAATTGAAGGTCGAAGTGTAAATGAGCACACAGAGGAAGGGGAGTCTCTCCTTTGTCTTGCTTGTTCTGCTGGATATTATGAACTTGCACAGGTAATTTAACTGTCGATGTAAATGGTGATCAATATTGATCAATCATTTAGCCATAAAAAACTATATTTAAAGGTAAAGTGTGAAATGGAAATCCTCTCCAGCTAAGCTTTGCAAGAATTTTAGCAACTGTACTGCATATTTTTGTGTCTGTCTAAAATTGCTCTTTTCTTTACCATTTCCTTACCAAATTCAAAGTTGGCAAAAGTTCTGAATTAATTGCAGCCAGTGAGGCAATCTCAGTGCTGTAGTTACATAAGCAGCAGCATCTGCATCTGTAAATATATGAAAAGAAACCTAAAATTGTATTATGCTGTTAAAGGTGTCTACTTTAAATTGCAGCAACCTGTAGTTTCCATCACTGGCTGAAATTCTAGGCCATTTTGATCAGGCAGAGGCCAACACATTCTGGTAGTGGTAAAGCCCAAATTGTTTTATGCGTTTTCCTATTGGCCATCTTGGCAGGCCATCACAATCATTGTTATGTGAAACTGGGTAGAGCACACAAACTTCAATACTACTATGAAGTGTTATAGCTTTACCTAATCACAATCTCTAGTTTTGTACAGTGCCCTTTCTGGTAATAAATTGCACTTCATATATGCTAACTTTGTGTAAGAAAACACGATCTGCATATGTGTAGGCGAATAGCGAGCTGCCTTAAATTGAAATAGCACTTTAAAAAAAAAAAAAATTAAAATCCTAATAGCTTACTTCAAAGATGTCTGGTACTACATTCATCAGCTAGTAAATACTCCTCTGTGAACAGTTCTAATACTAGTTGCTCTTTATTCCAAAACTGCATAATTGCCTAAACTTCAGGGTAAATCATGCCCACAGATCCCCTCCCCTGCTCCCTTGTGATTAACCGTATTGGGCACTAAGACATTTGATAGAATAGTGAGAAAGGGCTTAATCCCAAAGTCTGACAAGTTAATTCCTTAGGGCGGGTTCTTACTTTAGCAGAGAGCTACTGTAGCAGCCCTGTGCAAGGGCACACAGAAAACAAATGATTTTTGTTGTGCTCTGTTTGCATTTCCACGCTGTGGGGCAATAGTGATGTGGAAAAATGAATGTCCCTGCGATTCTATGCATGGCAGCTGAGCAGAGCAACCTTCCATTATAGTTTAGAATAAAAAGGGGATGAAACAATGCCTTGCATTGTAAAAACGCAAGGCACTGCTCCCCAGCTGCGATCAATACTGAACAAAGTGTAACCAGTGTCAGAGTTCCACCGAGATTTTTTTATGGCTAGCAAAGGCTTGGTGGTTCTTGTGCTTGATAAGTTTAATGTGCTTGATTAACTGTGAAGTTGATATTGGCATATAGTGCATACTGGTTTGTGGGCTGAGGGTAATAACCTAAACAATACAACATAAAAATAGTATATGCAAGCAAGCTGGGAAGCCCACTTTCCCATTATATTTTGAAAGTCCCAGATCCAGCCTAATGAAAGAATCACTTTAACCACGTTTATGTGCAGTGGCTGGGAGGGAACAGTGTCTTTCTGGGAGGACATACCTGTATGTCCTCCCTGAGGAGCGCCTTGTGCTCCCCCCCGGGGCAGAGAATCACTGATTGGGGTACTGGGCCACTGCGATTGGCCCTTGCACCGTGTAGTCACTGTGACCGATGCGATATTTGGGTACAGTGTTGCATGACTGAGTAATTGTCAAAGTGTGACATCACTGAAAAATGCCCTAAGCAGGAAGGGGCATTTTGATGCCTAGGTTTTATTTATACAGCTAATTATTACATTTTTTGCTTTAAGGTTCTTTTGGCTATGCATGCTAATGTAGAAGATCGAGGTATAAAAGGAGATATTACTCCATTGATGGCTGCTGCTAATGGGGGGCATGTTGAAATTGTGAAGCTGCTACTAGCCCACGATGCTGATGTGAACTCCCAGTCATCCACAGGTATGGGTTTGATTTTTAATTTACAGGTAGGTTTTCCAGTTTTTCTGCCGAACTAGTTGCTTTCAAAAAGTTTGTGTTAAATACTTTTGTTTTGTTTTTTTCCAATAAGGAAACACAGCACTTACATATGCTTGTGCTGGCGGCTATGTAGATGTTGTTAAGGTGCTGCTGGAATCAGGTGCTAGTATTGAGGACCACAACGAGAATGGTCACACACCTCTTATGGAAGCAGGAAGTGCTGGTCATGTGGAGGTGGCCAGGGTCCTTCTTGAAAATGGAGCTGGAATCAATACTCATTCCAATGAATTTAAAGAGAGTGCACTAACTTTGGCATGCTATAAAGGTAGATATTTTAAATCTTTACCTTTTTTGTATCTTTAACCAGTGGCTCCTATAACATAGTAATATTATGTTTATTTGCCGTAACTCTTATGTGGTTATCAAAATCTTGGCCTTTTGCCTTTTTTGTGGTGCTTTTCCAATTATAAGGAAATTCATGAAGGACAAATCATCCAAAATAAGTCCTAAAGACTATATACTTTTGGTGGTATAAGGAATGTTAGCAGTTTTTCAGAGTCTTAAGCTCATAGCTAATGTGCAGACTGGTTTGGTCCATTTTGAGCGCTAAAGGAAGAGTTTCTCAAATAGTATTTACAATATACTTTTTGTTCTGTCATGATATGGCATTACCATCTTTTCCCAAATTTTTCAGGTACAAGTTGATTGTATATCTGTTTCTATCTCTCATTAGTAAAAACATGATCCTGATTTAGGGATAAAGCTATTTTTTTTTTTTTTTTTAACTAAAATTTGGCTTTTGGAATACAGTGTTTTCTGTCATAAAACCACCTAGACCAAATATGTATAAAATACACCTCTGTAGGTTGCTCTTTTAAGGGTTGGGATTTAAATTTCAATTTACTTTTTAGGACATTTAGAGATGGTGAGATTCCTTTTGGAAGCAGGAGCAGACCAGGAGCATAAAACTGATGAAATGCACACTGCCCTAATGGAAGCTTGCATGGTAAGTAATTGCTACCTCTGCTAAGGCTGCGGCTCTGATATTATTTAAAGCTTAAAGCGGAGCTCCAGTCAAATTAAAAAAAAAAAAAAAAAAGCCAGCAGCTATAAAAAACTAGCTGCTGACTTTTAAAATTAGACACCCTGTCCCTCGATCCAGCGCTGTCCTCACCGCAGCCGGGTCCGCCGGCTGTCCTCACCGCAGCCGGGTCCGCCGGCTGTCCTCACCGCAGCCGGGTCCGCCGGCTGTCCTCACCGCAGCCGGGTCCGCCGGCTGTCCTCACCGCAGCCGGTTCCGCCGGCTGTCCTCACCGCAGCCGGGTCCGCCGGCTGTCCTCACCGCAGCCGGGTCCGCCGGCTGTCCTCACCGCAGCCCGTCCTCCCTGGTGCCAGTATCTTCAGTTTGGGCACCCGGCTGTGACAGCTTGTGGCTTCACAGGCAGGTGTCCACTGCGCATGCGCGAGTAGCACTGTGCTTTGTGAATGGTCTCGTAGTTTTATGGGGCCTGTCACATGTCTGAGAAGGCTACAGGGTGGGCGTGTGGGATTCCAATTATTAACGGGGAGCGGGAGATGAAGCTTTAAAGCGAAACTTCCCCTTTTGGGTAGAGCTCCACTTTAAATACAGACTCAAAAGGTTGTGTGCTTGGCAAGTGTGACTGTAGAAATACAACATGAATAGTGTTGGATTTGTTTGTGAGCAAGTAATGTACTTTTTTAGCTGCTTAAATACCATGTATTCTGGTGACAATTTGTGCTGTAAGTCTCTAATATGATTAGAGATTGGGTGCCATTTTGTCCTCTAATTCAGCATTGCAGTATCATGTCCTGAGCAGTACTACCCTGGTTACTGTAATGAATAAAATATAATGTAAGTAAATAAAAGGGTAGCTATAAAGGAGCATTATACAAATAAAAACATATGGATAAAGGTGCATGGTAAGTTTTCATTAGATTGAATTTTGAGCAATAAATTGTAGCTGGAGTCATCCAACTATGCTTGTAGTTTAGCTTGGATTTTTTTCTCCTCATCACATAAAGATCAGTTAAACTTTTAGTTTAAATCTGCTAAATGCAATCCAGGTTCATAAAAACAAAAGGTGTGCAATGCCTTATGGTTTGTTCTCTGTCTAAAGCTGCTATAACCAGGGTAGAAAAAGCCTGTCCCCTGCCAACAGCTGAATTAGGACCCTTGCTCTCTGTGGGGACGACTAAACCCCCGGCACCCAAAACAGCTCTGTGCGTGAATGAACTACATCTATTGTCAGTCTCCATGAGCTTCTCAGAGAACTGCTATGGTGCTGGGGAGCACTCTCATAGTCCATTGATACTTCCTCCCTTTCAGTAACTGCCTTAACAAGAGAGATGGGCTGAGAGCCTGCAGGATTCAGGCATTGTACCCTGCTTACCTGTTCGTGGGTGTAATGCCTTACAGGCTGCAGTGTAAAAAACATTTTAAAAAATGCTTTTTTTGTCCTGCCTGCATTTATTTATTTTTGTATAAAGGTGAATTTAGCCTTTTAAAAAGCTGCGGACTTCATTAAGTAAATGTATTTGCTATGAGTAATATAAAATCAGTATGCTGCCCTTTCTAAAATTGTCTGGATTTGTGCATTGTTTAGACTCAGCAGACAGGCAGTATTGTGCATTATTTATGTTAGATGAGAAGCAACAGAAATAAAAGGCCAGCACAATTTTTTTTATTTTTTTTAATTCAGATGCAGTAAGATTTCTGTTTTAACATGGTCTCCATTTTGACATATGTAAAATTGTATTTTTCTCATCCATCAAGAGACATGGAGATTCAGAAAAATGCTCCAGAAAAGTGTTTTTTCATTTTGTTAACCTTTGAATTTTTTAAAATCCAAGACATAACCACTTCAATACTGGACAATTTTACCCCCTTCCTGCCCATGCCAATTTTCAGCTTTCAATGTTGTCACACAAATAGAGCTTTGTTTTGTGTGGGTTTTTTTTTTTTTTTTTTTTTTTTTTTTAGTAAAGACGTGTAGCAGAATACATTTTGACCTAAATTTATGACTTTTTTTTTTTTTTTTTTTTTTTTTTAAATAGTTTTACTGGACATGATTAATAGCAAAATGTCAGTCAATAATATTGTTTTCTTAAAATTGGCGGTCTTTTTTTTTTTTTTTTTTTTTTTATAGTGCAAAAAATAACCGCTGAGGCAATCAAATATCACCAAAAGAAAGCTCTATTTGTGGGGGGAAAAAAAAGGACATAAATGTAATTTGAGTGCAGCGTTGCATTGACTGTGCAATTTTCAGTTAAAGAAACGCAGCGCCGTATAGCAAAAATTGACCTGGTCTGGTGGGGAGGGGTTAAATCCTCTGGAGGGCAAGTGCTTAATAAACTCAACATTGTGGATAATGTCAGACTGGGTTACCTTCTATATGGACTATGGTTTAGTGAGCAAAAGCTTAGGAGGTAGTCACTATTGTAATCCCTGCCATTTTGTTTCTAAACACTTCATAGCATGAGCACATTTAAAATTTTGCTTTTTTTCCCCCTCCTTTCTCGCCTGTGGTGCTGGGAACATGCTGCTGCATTCCCTTGGCTGATTTATACAGAGATATATAGTCATAGGAACTGTTGACCTATTTCTAGGCAGTTCCCTTTGTTCAATTTCACTCAAGACCCCTTTAATCTAGCACCTTCAAGATGTGGAAAAATCAGATCAAACCTTGGATCACCCAATGCTTCTGTCCAGCCAAACAAAGATCTCCCTGACATGGTGGATCTCCAGTCTTGCCCTGGAATTGGGAAAGTAATTATTTCAAGAGTTTGAATGTGGTATGAACAGATGCAAATCTTACGGACTACAGTTGTGTCCAGGTGACACTTACTGCAAAAGTCAAAACTCCCCTTTGGAATTCTGGAACTAAGAGCCCATCCGATTGTCTCTGCAACTTTGGACCTCCTTTCTGCAATGTCAACCAGAGTACAGTTAGAAAATACCAGAGCAGTGGCCTATATTAAATCAAGCTTGGCAGCCCCAAAGGAAACTTTGATTCCAGCTCTTTCAAATTGCCAGGAAGATTTCCTAACTCAACAGCTAGACCCAGGAGAATGGTTTCAGTGTTGCAAGGCCTTTCAAAATTTCTGTATATAGACATTCTGTCCTCCGAGTTCAACAACACGCTTAACCAGTTCATGGCCAAGACCAGGGATCCTGTAGCCTTTGCAGGAATGGCTGTTCCAGGGACCCATGTCCAACTTTTTTGACTTCTGATGAAGCTCCTCCCACAAATGCTGTGCAATATAGGAGGAAACTGTCCCAGTGATTATCATTGCATCGAACTGGCCCAGAAGTATGTAGTAGACAGACATACTCAGACTTCTGGTGAATAGGCCGTGGCCTCTTCCAAACAGACCAGACTTGCAAAGCGTCCTGCTTTTTCACCACTGGCTTCAACAGCAGGGTTATTTCTGACTGTTCCCATTTTACTCCGAACCAGCAAGTCCAACTCCCACAAAAATTACTGTCATACAAGGACAACTTTCTTTGCATGGTGGGACAACAGAAGAATTAACCCCAGGGACTAGTCTATCACTTGTATTTTGCCCTGTCTTTAGTCTGGCCTTGCCCAGTGTCTGGCCTTGAGTACCTTCAAGGGACAGTTTTTTGCCTTATCAATCCTCTTTCAGAAACTTCTTGCCTCCAAATCCATTATCAAGACTTGCCTATGGGGAGTTGCTCATACAGTTCCCAAAGTTAGACCTCCTGTGTCACCTTGGGATCTTAACTTGCTCTCTGCTGTTCGAACTGCCCTTTGAATTGATTAGAGGCGTTTCTTTGGAAGACCTAACCTCCTTAACGTTGTCTTCACATCTGTTGGGTGTGTTTCTGAGATAGCCGCTCTCTTGTAAAGAGCCTTTTTTTTTTTTTTTTTTTTTTTTTTTTTCACAAGAACAAGGTTGTTTTGAGGCCAAAACCTACCCTTTTTTACCTGTATGAAGACATTTTCCTCCCTTTCTTCTGTCCTGCCCCCAAAAAACTAGAAATTTATCTTATATTGTTTGGATCTGGTTGGGGCTGACACATGGTTTTACATGAGTCCCTTTTTGTTCTTTTTTGGAGGTTTTGTTAGAGGACACCTTATTTGCTGCTCCACCATTGCCAGGTAGATCGTACAACTTGTTTCCGTGGCCTAAGCTCTTAAAGTGGTATTAAAACTCCAACAGAAAATGTAAAGCTGTGTGTCTGCTCTTTCCTGCCGTTTGGTACAGCATTACATGACCATGCAACTGCCAGTTAAAGTAACGCTGTGTCAAATCTCAAAAAATGGCCTGGTCATAAAGGAGATGAAATCTTTCGGAGCTCAAGTGGTTACAGTAATCTCTATCTGGCTAGTACCTACTCTGCCCTGTCTCTGAAGACTTATTGGTGAGTAGATAAGTGCATATACTCACCATCACACCAAGGATCTCCAAATGTGGTCCAAAAAGGCTTTTATTGGAAAACAATCACATCACAGAAGGAAAGTGCAATGTTTCGGAGCCACACAGGACCCCTTCGTCAGGCATGCATGTGATCACATGCCTGCCTGCGCGGCTACATGATGGTTCACTTTTTCTTCTGTGCGGTGATTGTTCTGCAATAAAAGCTTTTTTGGACCACATTTGGAGATCCTTGGTGTGCTGGTGAATATCTGCATTGATCTTTGATGTCTCCAGTATCCAGCCGGTAGTTTCTACAGCACCCAATATTGATCAGCCCTGTTTCTAGGAACTCCCCTGATAACCAGTGTTTCTAATTTCATGAGTACTTTAGCCCTGGCCTTTTATTCTTCAGCCAATATGTTGCCTAACCTCACTGTGAGCACAACATGTGTATAAGTTTAAACACACTGCGAGACAGTGAGGGACTGTCCCTCTGTACAAGGTGCCCACAATTAACTTCCTACTAAAGAGGTGGGGGTTGCTTTCAGCACGCCTACTTATGATGCTGACATCTGCAGCCTGGAGTCCCTTCTCCTAGCCCTCCTTGGCCCCATTGGGTGCGGCTGGGTCCTCTGCTGTTTTTATGTGAGTATTTTTTTTCTGGTCATGGAAGACTTTATTCCCCAATTTATCCAGTTGTTTGCAAACTCTAGTCAGAGGTCAGAAGCACACTCTCTATATGGTTTACCATAGCTTGTGAGCCATTGGCTGCAGAGGCTTTCTGATTCTGAGTAGTTCAAGTTCTTGAGTAATGAACTTATCCCTGAGAAGTTGTACTCTGCTGCTATTACTCCTGAATTTAAGGAAAAATTTACTGTATAGGAAGATTCTGTTGTCAAGGACCAGGCTATCCCTGGCCTGGTGGCTCAGGAGTTTGTCTATGAAGCTGGGCAAGTCCTTGACATTTTTGAAGACTCTCCACAATGGCTGTCCGCTTGTCAGGCAGAGAGGGGTCCAGCTCACCTGTCTGTGCAAGAAACATTATTTATAGAGTCTGTTTCCTTATTAGCATCCTGGAGATTTGGCTGCCCCTTCTGCATTGAACTATTTGTTTCAGGTTCTATCAAATTGTCACAGTGGTGGAGTCACGGAGGAACCAGAAATCTCGCTGTGGCAAGAGTGCTTGTACTGATAGTCCTGGGCTGAAGTGCATGTTGCATCTTAGTTGGCTGTGCATATTCGAGATGTAAATAGCTGGCTGGCAGATTTTATCAGCCGGCAGTGCTGGACCTGGGAGAGTGGCCTCTACTCCCAAAGTTGTTCCAGGAGCTGTTACTGGGTCTACGGGCTTTCACTCACTCCAGTGTATACCCTGGACTGGCGTGCAGTCTTTTTTTTTTTTTTTTTTTTTTTTTTTTTTTTTTTTTTTTGTTAGCCAGTGTCCAGTCTAATTTTAGGCAGTGATAAACCATGAAAGTTAATGATTTCCTGTGTCTCTCAATGGACTCCCAAGAAAAGCATTTTACGGTTAGTACTTAAATCCTATTACTGTGTATATTATGCTTGTGTCAACAATTTCCTTTTTGTATGTCACACACAGGATGGCCATGTAGAGGTAGCTAGACTACTCCTTGACAGTGGAGCCCAGGTGAATATGCCTGCTGACTCTTTTGAGTCTCCTCTGACTCTTGCGGCTTGTGGTGGTCATGTGGAACTGGCAGCTTTACTAATAGAACGAGGTGCTAACCTGGAGGAGGTAAATGATGAAGGCTATACACCACTTATGGAAGCTGCCCGAGAAGGACATGAGGAAATGGTTGCATTGCTGCTTGGGCAAGGTGAGCTTAAATGTATTGTCCTTGGTGTTTATTGATCTTTGGCAATTTTTTTGCTTTGTCTGTTTAAGAAAAAAAAAAACATACGTCACCTTTTGGGGAGGTTTTCCACCAGTTGTCCTGCTAAAAGTAGGAATAAAGCAACTGGCATAAGTTATACATTTTTCACATTATACTACTAATAAAAGTGTGTTTTAAAGCTGTCTGTGTTCTGTTGACATCAAATGAACAAATTTTGTTCCAAAAGGGACACATAGGCAAAAGAAAAAAGTTTTGGGCTCCATTCATGGAAATGGTTTTTAGCTCTAGTATCAAAATGAAAAATAACCTGTGAACAAGTGTATGGAAGATTGTCAAACCAGAACCAACATTTGCACATGCAAAAGAGCTTTACATTTGTATTTTAAAAAAATGTTTTAATGTTGTATTAATGTTACAATTGTTTTATAGGTGCAAACATTAATGCTCAGACAGAGGAGACTCAAGAGACTGCCCTCACATTGGCGTGTTGTGGAGGTTTCCTGGAGGTAGCAGACTTCCTTATTAAAGCTGGTGCAGATATAGAGCTTGGATGTTCCACTCCTTTGATGGAAGCTGCACAAGAGGGTCACCTAGAGTTGGTGAAATATCTGCTTGCAGCGGGTACGTTATAGTGATACACCGAAATGAAAATTCTGGATGCACTTGGCCAAAAACCGAAACGGACAGTTTTTAAAAATGCATTTTTCAAATGCAATTTTTTTTTGGAAAAAAATACACTTTAATGATTAAAAAAAAAACGCACAATATATACCCCAATTTCTTTGTAAAATCTGAAAGAGGATACTACGCCGAGTAAATAGATACCCAACAGGTCATGCTTTAAAATTGCGCATGCTTGTGGACTGGAGTCAAACTGCCATACTTAAAAATCTCCATGGGTGATGCTTTAAAAAATTTCTACAGGTTACCTGTGCAAAGTTAGGTCTAGTGCTAGAGTTATTGCTCTTGCTCTGACGTTCGTGGCGATACCTCACATGTGGTTTGAACACCGTTTACATATGTGGGCGTGGCCTATGTATGCGGTCACCACTACGTGTGAGCATGGTAGAACGAGGGCACTTTAAACTTTTTTTTTTTTTTTTTTTTAACTGCCCTTTTTTCAAGGGGGAAAAAAAATGTTAAGCACTATTTTTCCTATCACAAGGAATGCATGCCAGCTTTGTGATAGAAATAATTAGTGACAGGTCCTCTTTATGGAGAGAGATGGGTCAATAGGACCCCACATCTCTCCTCTGCAATGTAAAGCGTTAGATAAAAAAAAAAGCACCGATCCTAGTGCTTTAAGAAGAACCGACCACCAGTTGAATGAAATGATACCAGGATGATGCCTGTAGCTGCAGGCATCATCTCGGTATAACTTCACGTCCAGCGACGTACCAGTACAACAGCTGAGAACACAGGCATATGATGAATTGGCTCTGTGGATCAACATTACCACAATTCATTCTTTTCTGTAATGCCCATGTTGAGGGTTAGGCCCAAAAGCGGTTTAAATTCAGAAACCGTTATAGGTTTCCATGCAAATTGTCTGGCAAGAGCTGAATTTGGGTGGGCGGCCGGCCATGTATTGTGCATATAATTTACCTTGGCCCACAATCAATTGATACTATACTAATGGCACTGGGAGGGTTATGGGACGATCAAAGGGTTAAATGTGCTAATCTAACGCATGCGTGTAAAATGTAGTGATGCTTTTACTCGGTACTGTGTTCTCTATTCTCTCCCTGGACCGACGGGTGGGGGGCGCAGGTGCATTCACACCCCAGGAAGTGGTTAAATATTGGGGCATAGGTCTGTCATTACTGTAGATGTTTACTCTTTTAAATTCGTAATATTTGGGGTTTTTTTATACTGTATTCGTTAAAATGGCTGCTTTTATTCTGCAGGAGCTAATGTTCATGCAACAACTGCAACAGGTGACACAGCTCTGACGTATGCTTGTGAAAATGGGCATACGGATGTGGCAGATGTGCTGCTTCAAGCTGGTGCGGACTTGGTAAGCAATTTCCTTTAGTTGTTGGTCCATGTTTACTAGACCCTTAAGCATTTCTTAAGTTTCATTTCTATATGTTTTAAGGAGCATGAATCTGAAGGAGGGAGGACCCCCTTGATGAAAGCTGCAAGAGCTGGTCATGTCTGTACTGTTCAGTTCCTCATAAGTAAAGGTACATTCATATTTATAATTGCACCCCGTGGTTACCTCTTTTATCATAAAAGATCACTGTTCTGTTTTTATTTTTGAGGTCTGTTTAAAGCTCTGAACTCTTTGGCTCCATTCACATCTGAATGTAGCTTTTTTAGCATGATTTTTCGTGCATATTTTACTGTGATTTTTCTGCGGTTTTGCACGGTTTTATGCGGTGGTTTTAGCTTTTGGGGTTTTCTTATTAGCCAGTAGAGAAACATGGGGCGCCAACGACCTATGAGTAATCAGCTGTCATCGGGGTACCCCCACTGACAGCTGAATGTTAAATTAAAAAAAAAAGCCGGCAATTACAAAATAATAAAAAAATGACGTGGGGTCCCCCCTTCCATCCATACCAAGCCCTTTGGGTCTGGTTAGGATTTTGAAGGGAATCCCCACGCCAAAATTAAAAAAAAAAAAAAAAAAATGTTCAGGTCTGGAAATGCAACATTGCCTATCTATGTCCTTTTTTGCACAGTTTGCTCTTGAACCATGCCCAATCTAAAGATTGTTCAGCCATCATTTCATACATAAAGTAGTATGGCAGTGCACAGCACCTGCAGTGACATAGACAATATTGTATTCACTACTGCTATAGTGCCATTATAAATCTCTTAATTTTTACCCTTATAAATATACTCTGAAAACTAGCAGACTAGTGTAAAGATAATGGTTCTACAATGGTAGATAGTTTATGAAAATTGTAGGCTACTTAATATCCTTTAAGACTAAGGTAGTTTTTTCTTTATCCTCATATATGTTTAAAAAGAAAAGCAAAATAGTCTATGTATTAGTTTCTAGTATGTAAAAAGTTGTATCTTGTTTATAATTGGTATACTTTTCATTTGTCATGTCTGCTTGAAATTCTTAAAACCCAACAGAAAATAGTATTGCTCTGACTGATTTCACTTACTTTATTTCTGTCTTAGGTGCAAATGTCAATCGGACAACACTGAATAATGATCACACTGTGTTGTCTCTTGCCTGTGCTGGAGGACATTTGGCGGTGGTAGAGTTACTTTTGGCCCATGGGGCTGATCCAACGCACAGATTGAAGGTAAGGTTTTCCCTAATTCCTTCCGATTCCACATAGCAGTTACCAAAATGTTAAACCAGCTGCAGAATAAAATGCAGTTAGAGGTGCTTTTAGTCCTGGTTCTCACTTGATCCAGCTTTGAAATCGTGCGACTTTACTTGAAGTCACACGATTTCAAAGTCACATGCAAGTGCAACTTGGAAGACATCTGTGCGACGTCATCGCGAAAAAAAAAAAAAAGTTCAGGAACTAATATCAAAATCAGTGCGACTCCGACTCCATTTGAATGCTTCCATTGCGGACAATAGTGTGCCATTTGTCATGCGATTTGAAATTGTCAAAATGCATGACAAGTCGCACCAGTGTGAACCAGGGCTTAGACCCTCTTCAAGAACACTCCTCAGGGCTCTAAATCCCAAGGAGCTCTAATATGAACAATCTGACTACTTGAAATTTGATCTGCTCTGTCATACCTATCAGTCATTTCTAATGGCAGGTTAAACCAATTAGTACAATCTTTGGTCAGTTGTGGGGCAAAGGGTGCAAAAAGGTGAAGACTAGCTCTCAATCTAATCAGAAAGTGAATCTTGCTGAGCCTCAGTTATTAGAGTTATAAGGGCTGTTGGTATTACTAAGGGTAGCCAATGTGATTCATGCTTGTATTCTATTTTCGTTGGCAGGCCTGAATCTGGTTAGTTTGAGGCAGTTCGAATACTAATAAAACAATTTAATTTATAAGCCCTAGAGTTAAATAGATGTGACATACAAACAAATCTAAAACATGCAGTATGTGTCATTTGTATCTCTAGAAAGTTTGAATTTACTGAAATATACAGTAACTTTAAATGTGGTAGACTCTTCAAAATAATTTTTATGCTGCACAGCAGCAAAAAGTAGTTCAGTACAATTTACAGTTCATGGTTACCGTCTCTTGTGCTCATGTTTTTTTTTTTTCGTTTTTTTTTTTCTTTGTGCAGGATGGTTCTACAATGTTAATTGAAGCTGCCAAAGGAGGTCACACCAGTGTGGTTTGCTACCTGTTGGATTATCCCAATAACCTTCTCTCTGCTCCCCCTCCTGATGTTACACAGTTCACCCCACCCTCTCATGATTTGAACCGGGTAATATATGTCTTGATTCTTATTGTATTAACCTTTATACTCAATTCGTTCCTACTTTGTACTTTAATTTCTAAATAAAGTAGAAATTTTGAAGTTGATATGGTATTTTAGAGAGTTAAATAAATGTTCTGCCATCCTTAATAGACCACCATCTTTTTTTTAAATTGGGGTTTAGGAAGCACATGCTTAATATTTCTACCTAGCCACTAACATTGCAGCAGTCATTGTCAAACAAGGTGGGGGCCAAATACCAACAAAGGCTAGTGCTAAGGTATTCTCTCCTCTGGGGTAGTACTTGAATTATCAAACTTGAGATGCTTGAAGACCACACTTGTCTGCAGGTGACTCTAGAACAGAAAACTGTTTAAAAAGTGGTGTCACCTGTTTACCAAATTGGTACTGTCTTTATATTCTGTGAGGAGATAAGAATATATATTTTTTTTAGTGATAAGCATATGTGGGTTTTGCTAGGTATGATTTTTTTCTTCCTTTTACCTTGGAGTACTTTGTGATATTGATTGCATGTTTTTAGGCACCTCGTGTACCAATGCAGGCACTGCCAATGGTTGTCCCACCCCAGGAGCCAGACAAACCTCCAGCAAGTGTGTCTACAAGCCTTCCTGTCAGAAGTAAAGGTTAGTTGTAATGTTAGACCTTTCATCTTTTTGAACAAATGAGATTTGTATTTCTTATTCCTCTTGCACCTTCTTCTAATGTTATATTTCTTGCTTAGAGGCAACGTGTCTCATTCTTTTAATCAAAGATATTAAAGAAATACATTAAAAGCGTTATGCCTCTACATTCTAAATTTGATTTAGAAACATAGTAGTAGTGGTAATAGTAACTGCTCATGATTTTGGTTATTCATACACTTAAAGGTAAAACCCACCCAAAACTGAGATGCAAGTTTTCAATTTTTAAGTGTGTATTGGCCAACTGAATGAGCCATTGGCTTCTTGCCTTGTGGCTCCCTTGGTAAATATCTCCACTAAAATGTTCTCTTTTCCATGTACATCTGACATGGAGATAACCAATAAAGCCGCCTTCCTACTTCATCCTAGTTTAATTACGCATAAAAGTAAATATTACATGTGCTGCTTTCAGCCATTAGCATTTACAGAGCAGTTTTTCTTTTCTGAGCTGTCGTGTTATAGCATAGTTTTTGTCTGCTTATCCTGCCAGTAGATCCATTGATTTTTCACTTCCTGCAACAGGGTGATATTGCTCATTCTTTGGTGATGTCGCACAGCACTTTGTCATATTGGTCAGTATAGTCTTCAGCTGGCCATACACAGCTCAGTTTTTTTTTTTCGTTTCAAGCTAAATATTGTTCCAACCACCGTACCACAAAACTTTGTTGTGGAATGGGAATATGGACTTTCAATGTGCCACAATACAGATACATACAAAAAAAGCTGTACATTTTTATGTAACATTAAAAGGGGGCTGAACAAAACATACTGAACCGATTTTCCTCATCCACTTATTTGATGATGTGGGTGTGGGAATTCTCCCCACTGTGTCATTGTATTCTGACAGCGGAGTCAGCTGGACTCCCCCACTGTCAGAATACACTGATCAGCTTTGCAGCCTATACCTCATTGGGAGGGGGGTGCTGCCCTGCTCAGAGATTCCCCCCCCCCCCCCCCCAATCCCTGAGCTACAAAAGATAAATTCTGGTCAGAGGGATCCAAGGTACCATATCCCTTTACATAAACACAAAGAAAAATGCTTTTACCACTTATAGCAAGATATAAATTAAAAACAATTTTTCACAGTAATTTTTGCTTGGAAGTATCCACAACTTAAGTTACTGAACATTTCTGTGGTGCAGTGATCCTCAGGAGATATATAGTACCACAACCAACTGTTCAAAAATTAACAAATTATTCGTTAACTTGCATATACAAAATAAGTGACAATTAAAAAAAAATAAACTTCAAAATGGATCAACCTTTTGAATGAAGTTTTTGTTATTTTGTTACTTTTTTGTTACTTGTTTTGTATAATCTGTAACTTAATGAATAGTTTAATTTTTTTTACAAAGAGATTTAGATAGTAGTGCCTGCAAGATATACAATAAAATGGTAGTTAGGATCATCTTTCCCATTAAACCCACAGGTAGACCTTTTACCGATCTGAGCTTAACCAGAGTGAATGCCAATAAATTGCCTCCTAATTTTTTTTTTTTTTTTTTTTTTTAATGTGTTCCATTCAGTTGACATGGTTAAGCCTTGGTGCTAAATGGCACATTAACATGTTTTAACATGCTTTTATTAGAGCATGCTTACGAAGCAAAAAAATACATATCTAAAATATATTTAATCAGTTCTCTCTTGTGCCAATATATTTTTAATGGTTAGGAAAATGTTTCATGATGTCATACTTTTAAATGAAACTTAAAATATTCAGAATAATTAGAAAAACCTGTACTTCACTAGGCTAAGGGAGATCATGTGGGAGATTTCTTTTAAGTTCCTCAAAAGTTCTTACCTTATGGATTCTAAACCTGATTAAATATGCTGACAAAATTGCTTATTGTGTCTGCATAATGTCTCTAATTTGAGCATGTTTCAGAGTTGCTCCTGAAATATTTGCATTACGTGTGTGAGCTCATTATTCTTTATAGTGGCTGTATGTTAACTTTTTTGTGTTTCTTTTATGTCTCTTGGTTCATGCCCAATATGTGCTGCTTTTTTTTTTTTTTTTCCTTTAGTTTTTAGTAGGTACAGTAGATAACTGAACAGTGACCTCCAAAGTGGTCATGGTTTTTCCCATACTATTTTTCCATTTTTTCCCCCATCATGAACACTTTGTGTGCTAGTATGTTCCATGTAATGATTGTATATCATTGTGTGTCTAATCCTGTATCCTGTTCAGGTGCTTTTTTTAAAGCTTCCATGTTCCTGCTCCTTTGACAGGTTACTCAGTGTTTGATCTGAGTTCTGTGCTGCAGTGTTAGCTTAACTAAATTCATAGATTTACTTTATAGTAAACTTGGTAGCAAAAAAAGTAGAACCAGTGAAATCCACAAAATAACATTGCTTTTATGATTAAAGGTTGAAAACCTGAAAAAGTGTTTTTGCAACATATTGAGGTACATATGAAATCAAGTGGGGAAATTTTGAGAGAGCTTTAAATTTCATAATTATCCTACAGTTCAGTAGGGGATACAACAGCATGGGGTCATATAACGCCTACTGGAGAATACACATTAAAAATGGACTCCTAGTTTTTAGTGCAACATATTTATGATTCTTATCAGACAATTATAAACTTTCTCTTACTGTCAATCAGCTTCTTGTCCAATAACCCCCCTCAAAGCTTTTTCCGAGCCTGGAACGCCAGAACGTGTAGAACAATAAACAGATTCACATCTAGTAGAGAAATACTACCAAAATTATTGTAGCAGCTTGTCTGTGTTGGTGTTCCTAATACCAGAACATGGTTATACATTTAATGTTTTTAATTGGGAAAAAAGTACACTCATGCTAGGAAATACAGAAAAGGGGATGTCTTGTAGTTTAGTGAATTTGAAGAGTGAAAAGGGGGGGCTTTATATTGGTAGCAACATTTTTTTTTTTTTTTTTTTTTTTTTTTTTTTTTTTTTTTTTTGTGCGCACTTTGGTGCTTCAGGTTTTTAATTTAATCTTTTAGTGTTGCCCCACTATTCCTGAAACATTGACCATCCATAGAATCAGGAAGAAAGGATAAACCCCATGATGGTCAAGGCTAATTTGCAGGCCTTGGACGGCAGAGAACGCTCCACCAGAGCTCTAAGACATGATAGAAATCATAAGGTAGTTTAAATCTACCTGAAACACATTAGTTTTGGATGGACTGCCTTTTTAAACTATCCCTTTGCTGCAATACAGTTGTGTAATATACAAAAAGAGAAACGGAGGAAACCAAATGTTTCATGTCAGGTTTAGTATTGATAAACACAGATAGGGGAATGCCTTGTGGTGCATAGAACTTTTTAGGTGCTCTAGGGGTTTTCGGAGAGGAAGAACATCAGTAAAAAATGTTATGCTTATTTTATTTTCTCTGGTTTTGCAATCCTTTGACAAAAGTTCAAAGCTATGACAATGCTTTACTCACATCTATAGGTGCTGGTATTGCAATGTTTTTGGTTTTGTTGTAAGTTTCATTTATGACCTAAAAAGAATTTCAGGTTCTTGTTTCGCTCAACTAGTTGTAATATGCCCCTTTTAATTTATCTTAAGAGACACCTTGCTTTTGAGCCAAGTCTATTTGACCGCTAGACCAAAATTTTGTGTAAAATGTCAGTTTTGCTTCTCACTGCATACTGCTTTTGTTCCTCTGTTATTTTTCTTTTCTAATTTGAAATGTCTTTGTTTATATAGACTATCCATTTTTAAGTGTGTGATAGTTTTGTGGATTTAGTCTTTATGCAGCTTTACAATTTCCCTCATGTCAGACAGTCATGAGGATACTATTTATTTTGCGCTTCCATTTGGTTCTGAGGGGGTTTCTTTTTCACACAGCTACTTCTAAGCAGAAGTCCAGTGGCCATGTGCCAGAGAGCAGCCAGGATGCACAGGGATACATCAGCAGTCAGTCTCCAGAGAGCATTGTAGAAGAAGCTCAGGGGAAGCTGACGGAACTTGAACAGAGGATCAAAGAAGCCATTGAAAAGAATGCACAGTTACAGTCTTTGGAGCTGGCTCATGCAGACCAACTGACTAAAGAGAAGATAGAGGAGTTGAATAAAACCCGTGAAGAACAGATCCAGAAGAAGCAAAAGATACTGGAGGAGCTTCAAAAAGTAGAACGAGAGTTGCAACTTAAGACCCAACAGCAGCTGAAAAAGCAGTATCTAGAAGTGAAAGCTCAGAGAATCCAGCTTCAGCAGCAGCAACAACAGCAGCAGTCCTGTCAACATCTGGGGCTGTTAACTCCTGTAGGGGTTGGGGAAGAGATCACAGAGGTAGACTATGCCCACTTACAGCAGGTTGATACCATCCTGCTCAAAGAGGACCCTCAGCAGACTGCAGTACCAATGGGCTTCACTCCCATGCAGCCTTTGGCAATGCCTCAAGCTTTGCCACTGGCCACAGGTACACTATCTCCTGGGCCCATAACTAATCTTGCAGATCTCCAAGGCGTTATTGTGGGACAGCAAGAAATAGGTCAAGCACAACTAACAGGGCTGGGGCAAGGTGTCCTGCCAGAAACACAAGAAGGGTTAATGATAGCCAGTCCTGCCCAGACTCTCACTGACACTCTGGATGACATCATGGCAGGTGGGTATGATAGTTCAACTAGTTTCATGTGGTTCATTACATTTTGCTTTTAATTGACAGATCTTTCTGCATAAGAATTACTGTTTGGAATATTTTGTTCTCTTTGGTTAACTCGAAAATATTTTTTTCTATGTTTACAATTTTAAAAAAAAATGGAATGTCAAACAAAGTTTTATTGTAAGTGGTGGTAGTAATTGTAGATGATTTTTGTAGATTAAACCGCCTATGAAGTCCAGTTGCCTAAAATTCTAAGGCCCCATGCACACAAAACATCTGTTTAGCTCCTCTGAAAGCCAGAAAGCCTGGTGGGGAAAAAGCAGCTTTAAAAAAAATTAAAAATCACATTTTGCATATGCATTTAGGTGCTTCTAGCATTTTGAGTAGTAATGTATTCCATTGGCCAGAATGTTTACTCTAGCCATTAGAATGCATTAATGCTGAAACCTTAGACGCATCTAGTGTTTAGGACATTCAGCATTGTTTCTCAATGCGCCTTTGGTGTTTTATTTTTTTTTCCCCCCAGCCTGTAAACGCTCATTTTCTAATACAGCCCGTAAACGCCTTTGTTTACATGGACATCTAGGAGTTGCTTTACCAAAGGCAAATGGACTTTGCAAGTGCAGCTGGTTCAGAGCTTAGTAAATGATGTGAAGCTTCTTTGCAAAGCATACCCAATCACATGCAGCAAAACTTTAAAAAAAAAAAAAAAAAAGGAAAAAAGCATCTTTGCTTGTGCATGATTAGATGATGGAAAGCTGCAGAATTTACTCTCATTTACTAAGCACTGGAGCAACTGCACTTATGAAGTGCATAATCTATTTGTCTTTAGTAAATCAACCCCATTTGCTTACACAGAGGTACTTTTACAGGCTGTGGGGAAAAAAAAAAACACTCAATGCCTGTAACAGTGGCGGGGTGGGGTGGTTTTGGGTTTTTTTTTTTTTTTTTTTTTTTTTTTAAAGCTCTGTGTGCATGAGCCATGAAAGGGTAACTCCAATGTTGTGGGAAAAGAAATCAAATAAAAAAAAAAGTATCTCATACAGTTGCTACACAAATCATATTTTAATTGAATGTTACTGAAAACTACCTTTCTTTTTTTTATCTGCAGTGCTGTAATTTTCTGTGAAATGCAGTGCAGTATGGCCATCTGTATACAGAACACCCCCTGGAAATATTCCTGCTTGTGTGATTTGGCTCATTGATTTTTTTTTTTCCCCCGGAAGTCTGCTCTAAGATATGCTAGATTTTGAGCATCCCCTGCAACAAAAATGTCCTTTCTGGCGAGCTTCTCCCAAAGGGAAATCACCTCTAAAGGGATGCAGACTGCCCCTTTTCTCATTAGAACCCTGCAAGTTCAGCAGGTGATTTGATAATTCTAAAATCACTCCCATCCACATTCATTTTGCACAAGGACGCAGACAAACTATTTCTTCAGTATAACAATGTAGGCATTGGCAACAAAGGTTGTTATAATCCCTGCAATGTTCCTTGATCACACAGTGGGGAATATTATTTTTTTCTTTCCTAAACAAAAGTGGAGTTACTCTTTTTAACAGTGATATCCGGAACAATAAGATTCTGGCTACTGTCTAATATTTCAATCACAGCAATAATCACCTTTTTTTTAAAGTTTTTGTATAGTTTGGATGGATGATGTTAATCCCTGCCTTTAATACAATTTATTCTCCAGTTTCTGTATTACATTCACCTTCTGCACATGTCAGTCTTGAGGAGGTTACATTGTGAAAGAGTTTAGTGCCACTTGTAATGTTTTGCAATTCTGCACATGTTGAATGTGTCACACCAAAGTAATAAAAGACAAACATGCAGGGACAGAGGTTCAGAACAAGACATATACATGACACTTCCACATATACTAAATAATTATAACTGGAATAACCAGTTAGTTTCTACTACTGTCCTCATTCTTTAAACAGTGGTTTATGCTACATTTTTATAAAGCAATTTTGTGGCTTTGGAGAAAAAAAAATCAAACTTAAAAGCTGTAGGAGTTGGGTGGGTATTATAATGTTTTAAGATGCTAAATGACTGTTGAACCCTTTAAACCATATATTCTCTCAGCCTAATTTGCAGGCACTACCATTGATAGTAGCATCAGAAAAAAGGTTGGATGTGTGAGGACGAGCAATAGCTAATGGCTCTTATGTCATCACAATCAATAAATTGAGGTGGTAGAACATCAACTTGTTTCAATAAAATAATGCTGGTATTCCAAATATATCATTTTTGACAAATTGATAATGGTCAGGGCAGGAATTGTTTATGATCTTCTTAAAAGCTTGGCAACTGGGGACTTTTTCTTCCCTATTTTTGTGCTAAACAGATCATTTGTCTTTGAAGAGAACAGGCATGTTCCTACTATGGTCCACTGATTGACAAGGTCTGATCTGTATTTGTGACCCAAAATATGAGAAAAAGGAATGTGTTATGTCCGGAACAGAAGAAGTTGGGAATCTAACTACTTAGTTTGCTAAAATGTATACATTATAATTATGTAGGAGATCTAATTTGTATTTTCTACATATCTGGAGTTCCACTTTAAAGGACCCAAAGTTTCCTGGCATCATACATAGCCTATATTGTCATGTGGCTATCCTGTAAATAGGTTGAGCATGCTGTGACAACACAATTGCCATAGGTATGAAAATCTCAATCTGATTTGTGGAAGTAAATCCAGATTTAATTGATTAGAGCTATCAGAAGCAATATAAAGAAAAATCATAGAGCCATTTTGCAAACTTAACAAACGTTCCTTTGTTCACGTACCCTGACAAGAGAATTATGAAGGCTGCTCAACTGGAACAAGCACAGAGATAACGATTGACTCTTCTGAGCCTCATTTACAGCTTGATTGTTTGATATTTATGATACTCTTTTACATCATAAATCTGGGACAAAGCTAGACAACTTGCATTTTTTGAAGGCTGGAATTGATGGCCCCCATACTACAGTCATGATAGCCATACTTTTAAGTCTTTAAAGCAGAACTCCAGGAAAACCATTTTTTGTTTTTGCCAATACCCAAATCAAACAAATTTACTCCTGTAAAAATCTTAGCTTCACTGATGCCACAGAAACTGTCAGCACTCTTCTTTAGAACTGCAGGTTTCATACAGTGAAGAGATCTTTTCATTCATAACGATATCATGTGCCACAACAAAAAAAATAAGCTGCTGCAAGCACTTAAAGCGGAGTTCCAGTTGAAAAAAAGAAAACGTCAGCACTACAAAAACTGTAGCTGCTGACTTTTTAAAATACACTTACCTGTCCCTCTGTCCAGCCGTGTACTCACCATGGCTGGTTTCACCAGCTGTCTTCTCTTCCCGGCGCCAGCACCTTTAGTGTGGGCACCTGGCTGTGACAGCTTGCAGCTTCACAGCCAGGTGCCCACTGCGCATATGGCAGTAGCACTGCGCTTTGTGAATGGTCCCATAGTTTTCTGGGACCTGTCGTGTCCCAGAAGACTACGGGGAGTGAAGACATCTTCCGATCGCCTTAGGCAACGGAAGTGGAAGTGGGTACCTATCAAATTCAGGTACCCACTCCCCAAAGGTGCTAATTAACTGGGATCGGGGGACAAAGACTTAAAGCGGAACTTCCCCTTTTGGGTGCAGCTCCGCTTTAAAATCAATAAAATTCCCCAAGAATAGTGCTATGCTGCCTCCTAGTGACCCAAAAAAAATAAACTATTAATAAACACCCTCCTGAGCATCAAACCCAATGTGTAATTGAATAAATCTATGAAACAAAGTCTATAGTAAATAAAATACAAAAAACTGGCTGAGCCACTAAATCCAAATGAAATGTGAAACATATCAATAATAAACCATAATCAAGTAGCAATAAACAGGTGTTTATTACTACTTGATTATGGTTTATTTTTGATGTTTCACAAATCATTTGGATTTAGTTGCTCAGCCAGTTTTATCTAATATTGACTATTTGTTTCACAGAATTTATTCAGTTACACATTGGGTTTGATTGTCAGGAGGGTGTTTATTTTTTGGGTCACTAGGGGGCAGAGCAGCACTATTCTTGGGGGATCCTTTCTTTCACCCTCCCTTTTCTGTCCATCTGTTCACAAAAATCAATTTATTATGTTAACAGAATACAGGGTGTTGTGTGATTAGATAAGGGGAAGACTTGGCTTTGCATTTGGTTCTAAGGTATTAAATGAGATCTGATCCAATGCATAGTTCTTAACCCTATCTCCATCTCTTCTGTTTTGGGCACTGTTTCCATTCCAAGATGTTTGTGTGCTCCATCTGTAGAAAATGATCAACTAAAGGAGGACATTGTGCTCTCTACTTTTGTCTCTCGCATGCCTGCCTTTCATTCTGTAATATGACATTTTTGGTGTAAAAGTATGATTTTATTGACACAAGTTGATTTCCTATTTCAACGCTGCTATGTTGCATGGGAGGAAAAGGTAAATAAATAGGGGGAACTTCCTTTAAATCTATAGGACTGACATGAAAAGCTAGCTGGAATGTTTTGTGCTGCCTGTAGCGACCCATCAATACATTATAGGATAAGTTAACCTTTGGGAACCATGTTACATGTTCCACCAGTTTTTTAGGATTACTTTTTGTAGTTGATTTTAGGATCATTTTTTAGCCTGATCTTTTGTGAAATCAGAGTTAGGCTTCTGTTAGGTATGAGCAGTCAATGGAAATGCAGTTTTGAACCCATTGTTTTTTCCTCCGAAAAATCATATGCCTCTTCAGTATCTAAGAAAAACATATTTTATCTTGCACCTTTGCATTCTGAAAAGAGAACGTACATCTGCAAAACGTTGCAAACATACATTTCTCTATTCATTGAGAGACTTGATAATAGCAACCTAGGAATATACTGCTGCCTTACAGGAGAAAATGTCACTAGGCTGCATTTTCTGCCTGCTCCAGTTTGGATAAATTCCCCTTATTGTGCATTTTTGCTCTTTATGCAAGTCTTTATCACAGCCATCTGCGTTTGCT